CTCCGAAGAGCGGCGCCAAGACTCCAGAGAGTGTCAAGGATGCTCTGGTGAGCAGCGCCTGGGAACCAGGGAGCGGCACCTTTCAGGTGACTGCTGCCGGAATTCCGGGGACTGGCGGCATGCCTCTGTGGCCCGGTACCACAGATCTGGTGGCTGATGTCTGGATCCCGGAGATCGGTGCATGGAGTTCAGTGATCAGTGTCTGGAACCCACCAGGTGGCCACAGGTCTGTGATTCAAGACGCAGCTCTGGAGATTGTTGGCACAGTCCTGGTGAGTGGGCCGGAGTACAGGGCCATGGGGGTGACTTCTGCAGGGGTGACAGACAGGGCTTTCCCCTAGAAACGGATCCTTAGGCCTCTCTTCCCAAGGATAAAGCAACATCAGGAAGAGGAAGATGTCTTTTGTCGCTTGAAAGGCTTCTGGGGTGGATAGCACCGTGAGGTACTGTGTACCTCTACCACTCCCTGGCGTAGGAGGCATGTCGCGGGGCGGACTAGGCCCAATAGGCGAGGCTGCCGTGTGGCTACGCTCCGGTGACAGCGAGATGGTCCGACTTGGTCTAGGCTCGCAGACAACACAGCAGCCATGTTCTGTGGAGGGATAGCTCAGTGGTTTGAGCATTGGCCTGCTAAACCCAGGGTTGTGAGTTCAATCCTTGAGGGGGCCACTTAGGGATCTGGGGCAAAATCAGTATTTGGTCCTGCTAGTGAAGGCAGGGGGCTGGACTCGATGACCTTTCAAGGTCCCTTCCAGTTCTAGGAGATAAATAATATAAATAAATTAATGGAGATATCCTAACACAAATTCGGATATAACACGGTAAAGAAGAGCTCCAGGGGGGGTGAGGCTGCGCACTCCGGTGGTTCGATATAACGTGGTTTCACCTATAACATAGTAAGATTTTTGGCTCCCGAGGACAGCGTTATATCGGGGTAGAGGTGTAGTACTAAAATTCATCATCACTTATTTTTAAAATCAAGATTGAATGTCTAAAAGATACAGGACTCAATAGTGTTCACTTACATAATACAGAAGAATAATTCCCTCCACTGCGGGAATCACTCAGTGGCATTTTAGTGGATTTAAAATCACAGGCCTTAACAAAAATCAGAAGCTTCTCCCCCGCTTCAAACAGCAATAATCAAATCATACGGTAGCCCATTTTACAAATACCATCCTTCACCACACAAAAAGACCCTTGTAAAAGCTTGTGTCAATAGATAACCCTTGCAGTATGCCCATTAAAAAGCAAACAAAGCAAAAAACAAACCACACCACACACACACACGCACAACCATGGGTTGTTCTGGACTATGGGCTAATTCAAAGGTTGAGAGCCTCTCTGAGGCCACCCTTGCCACCAGCTTCTCTTTTATACAAAAGAGACTCCAGTCCAAGCACCTCTGCTACTAGCAACTGCAGCTGAATGGCACAGAAAGGGGGGCACTGTCTATTTATGGCTTCATAAAACATATTAAACTCCATCTGGACACGAAAAGGTAGCCATTTAACCAATGCAGAAGCCAAAGCACTGATGTCACCCTGTTTATCTTTAGAAAAGCTGTAAAAATGCCTTCACATTTTTCTGAAGCATCTACTCTTTGCTAGTTCCACCCACTCTGATTTAAATTCTCTCTTGGCCTCTACCAAGAAGTACTTGACTACTCCCATCTAGGGATCGTTTTGCATTCAGCCTCACTCTCAGTCCTTGCTTTCTTCTTGCATTGGCTGGTGTCCCAGAGTACAGGACACTCATGATCATAGCCTCATAGAATTCAGGAGGAAACAGGTGGCCATGAGTCATCCACCTCGTTTCCTCTCTACATAACACCTTTAGGGTGAAATGGAGCGAAGATAAACAGGTAGCCTGAATTAAGTCCAAATGAGCTTCCTGCCCTTAGACTAGAACTTCTTTGGCTTATGTTTGCTTGACTTGCATTTCTTAGTGTTGCAAGAGTGTCCTGGAGCAGAGATTGTCCATATTCTTGCATGACTCACTTGGCTTCCTATTTAAACACTTGAATTTCTCTGGATACCCTATTGAAGTTCACCTGACAACACACCAGGTGATAAGTTTTGAGCACAAGACTGTGGAGAGAAGGCTGCTCCTGAAGTTCTAAATGCTGCCCATTAGCGCTATATAGTTCAGGAAGAAACTCTGAACATTTTGGAGACCTGCCTCAGAGCTGCCTTTGGGTCATGAAGTGACCTATGTAACAACTCTGATTCTATTTCTAGAGTCACAACTGGCAAGAGAATCCTTTCATGAAAGCTGATGGAAAACCTTCTCATGTGACAAGGTGCTATATTTTCCTTCATCATTTTTCTGAAAACAGTCACTTTCTAAATTCCTCCCTCACCTCTTTCCTTTGCCACTCCTGTTCATTCCATTGTTCCTCAAACCTAGCTTAACCTTGCGCCAGTGCCACTGAGCAACTCTGGAGTAAGCTCAGGGACCAGGCAGACTTCCTACACTACAAAATTAATTCTATATTCCTTGTTAATTACAACTGAACTGCTGCCTTAACTCATAAGTCTACCCCGCCCCTTATCTCATCTCCACTTTTTACATCCTCTAGTAATCCTGCCCTTGACAACCTGACATTTGACCCTGCCTCTAATAACCATCCCATTTCCCTTCTCCATTCCGCTTTCAAGCTTCTTAAACATGCTCTCTCACTCACCACCTTGATTTCCTCTCCTCCAATTCCCTACTAGCACACTGCAATTTGGCTTTCACTCCCTTCCCTCCACCAAGACTGCTCTCATCAAAAGGTAACCCATCACCTACTGCCACTGAAGTCCACGGGCCTCTTCTCCAGTCTCACTCTTCTTGACCCATGCACTGGCTCAGAAACAGCTTATCACTCCTTCACAGGACACTGCCCACCTCTCTTCCCCCCCCCAATACTTTGCTTCAAAAAATACCTGTTCTCACCCTACCTCTCCAATTTTTCCTTCAGGGTCTCCTTTATTAGCTCATCTTCCTCCCGCTCCAACTTTCCATCTGTCTCCTTCAAGGCTGTCTCTTGAATCAGCTCTTTTCCCCCATAAATTTTATTTCTAGGTAACTTTATGAGCCCTCACAGCTTCAACTATTCACTTCTCCCTTTCTGTTCAGTCTTGCATCTCTGACATTGCATCCTGGGATGTCCCGCCATCAAGTTAAGATCAGTTATAAGACTGATCTCCTTAGCTGTCCTCATAATTCTTCATCACAGTTCTGTCAGCCAGACTCACAAGCACTTGTAATACACTACAGTCCCCCTTTCCCACATCCAGACTTTAGGATAAATGGTTAATGCATCTGTTATAAACATACAGCTAAGGGTAGCATAAAATTCCTTCTTTACCTGTAAAGGGTTAAGAAGCTTAAATAACCCGGTTGGCACCTGACCAAAAGGACCAATAAGGGGAGAAGATACTTTTAAATTTGTGGGGGAAGGTTTTTGTTTTGTTTTGTTTTGTTTTGTTGTGTTCTTTTCGGGTCAGCAAAAAATTAGGGCAGGGAAAAATATATTTTTCAAAGCCATACCTAAATTAAGCATCTAAAGTTACAAATTGTAAGTAATAGAAAGAAAATGCGTTAAATTATTTTTTGGCATCAAACTTAGTATTTATTACCTGAATAAAATGCATAGGAGTCTCCTCCTGCTGCATAAATGGTGAGGCAAACAGACATTTACTTTCAAGACAGGAGACATGATGTCATGACAACATCCTATCACAGTGTCTATTTTTAATTGCACAAAATAATCAATGTAAAGATTTCTGATTACCCTGCTTGGATATATGAAACAGCTGTCTATTGGGTTTGGGGGGGGGGAGGGAGAGGGGGAGTGATCATTTGGCAAAAATCTTAAAATGTTTAATGTAAAGTTTAATTAAGAAAGGCCACTTTGTTTTATTTGCACATGTCAACGTTTGGCTATTTTACTCTATTTTGTTTTCAAAATGTGCTATCCTATCCTCATTCTCTTAAAAACCCCAACAACCACCAACAGCCCTATATCTTAATAGCTCCATTTTGCATTTTTCTCAGCTTTTCTGGACATGGAGAATCCAGATCAGTAGCTGCCTCACAGACTCACTACAAATGTGCAATTCTTCTATAGAAGGTAAATTGTTAAGTACTTAATTTTTTTAATTAACTTCTTCTTTACAATCTTCCCTAAAATCTTATTTTCATAATGACCTACCTGACTTTACTAAGAAAAAACACAATATTATTCCAGTTCTGTAGCATCTATAAGAGAAAGGTATCAATGTCACCAGCGACAGAGAAAAGTCAAGGGGAAAAAACACCAAAAGGCCATGCCTCATGAATGGGAAAACCTCCCTGACAACATCACTGAGCCACTATCTTAGCATCCTTCAAATTCCTCCTTATGACTAACCTCTCCTACAATATTTACAGAGTACTACCAGATCACTACACCTAAGCAGGCAGTGAGCCAACATCTCTGCTTAATACACTTCCATTTGCTTACTTTTCTGGTGCCTGCCTGCCTGCCCACTGCCATGTTTGTCTCATCCACACACGGAGTCTTGCTACAACATTGATTGTGACACTTGGGACAGAGTGTCTGGACACCACCAAGTCTGGAGGGAAAGGTGGGGGAGGAGGGTGAGCTGATTCTTGATCCAGTAGGCACTACTATAATACAAATAAATAGCAGCAAAAAAATTGCAGTGGCAAAATTAAGCCATCCAAAAAATAGCTTATTTGAAGAAAGTGGTTTACCTCCCATTTCTTTCATGGGTACTAACTAAATCCTTGAAGATTCTTATATCTACAAGTTGTCGTTTTAAAAGGTTACCTTTAATTATTGTATACATACAAAGTTGAACTTGGATCTAATCAACAGGTAGTTAATTCTCCTATGAATTATGTATTTAACAGGGGGGAAAGTCACAAATTCAATTCAAGTTTTGCTTAGACGGAACCAACAAGTATATGAACTTGTGCTACAAAATCATTTTCTTAGACATACTTACCACTAAATCCCAGTTATTTTGTTCAAGTAACGTAATAGCTTCATCAATATTTTCAATGCCGGTACATGCCTAAAAGGAAAAAAAAAAAAAAAAGAAGAAGAATAAAAGGGGGGGGGGGGAAAATGTTGATTTAAACAGAATTCAGATCAATATTAATTCTTTAACAGTTAAGTAGCTGGGTACAGCCAAAGCCAAGGCATGAGTCTTTGAAGCCTAGAACCATGTGATGACAAGAGGAAAAGGACAGTTTATGTCAGAGGCTAGTGTAGGATTTGGGAAACCTGAGTTCAACCCCTGCTCCACCACAGCCGTCTTGTGTGACCCTGGGCAAACCACTTAGCCTCTCTGTGCTTCAGTCACACATGTTAAAGATGGGGATAACAGTACTTCCCTATGCCACAGGAGTGTTCTGGGGAGACATACTTTAAGGACTGTGAGATGCTCAGATACTACCATAATTCAAGTAATATACAAGAACCTATGATGGAGAGTTCTGCCATATCAAGTCTAAACATTTTTTAAATTCTTAGTAAAAACAAAAGCAGATTCTCCTGTGCAAAACAGCATTTTTGAAGGGCCGTAACATAAATACTGATGTAACAATGAAACGGGTAGTTTTGCTTAACTTCTGATTTAGACTTGCACCAAGTGAGACTTCAGAACTGCTCCCCAGCTGAACAGACAGCCTGTGAGATTACTAATACCCAGTTTGCTTCTGTCAGAACCTGGAAAGGTTTTCCTCCACCTGCCACCATTCATCTATTACCCAAGTTTCCATTTAGCACTGTAGGTGTGTGTGGCACTTTACAAGGAAACAAAAGCATTAACCATGACCAGATTATCTTAAATTTTATATGACAGGATAATGCAGGCTCAGATGAAAACATAAATCATAGGGAAGAATAATTAAATAAAGAGCTGCATAACATTGGGAGTCTACTTCTTTATTTGGTTAATGTGGTAGTCAGGGTCATTGTTGGAGAGCTTGTGGAAATAAGTAGACTTGGGTGGAGAGGAAATTATGCAGCGTACAGCATCAGGAAGGACAATTCAGGAATAAGCAGAAGGGCAGGAGAAAACTGATGGGTGCTTATGTGATGATCCAAGAGAGTACAGCTGCTGTCTTGAGTTAAATCACTTAAAAGTTGGTCTGCCAAAATAGTTACAAGGTCATTCTGTACCTCCTTTGACCTTGAACACCACCAATTACAGTGTTCCCACTGACTAACCGTCAAGATGGGGCACAGAAAAAAAGACCATTTCTGAGATAACTGGGGACTAGCTTCTTTATAGATCAGGACCAGGAGCACGAAGGATTTGACATAGGTAAGCCCCTTCGTTTTCAGTTTAAACCAATTTTTACTGAAAAATTCCGGGGTTTTACAAAAAGTATTATTTAGTTTTTTCTCATTTTCACCCTACTTTTGTATCATTCAAATATATAAAAAATAACTTGTTTTATTAGGAATACATTGCATGAGATATATGTATTACAACAATACATTAGTCTGTGTGTACATGCAAAGCTGCCCGTTGAAGTAAAGCTATGTATTAGTCTAGAAGGTACACACAATTAACAAACAGGCACGCACGCAAGCTCTGAAGTATGTGCGCATCTGAATGTACTGATAAATCTGACGCCCTCCACATACACATTTCAACTGTTAGCAGATAACAGTTTAAAGATTTGATACACTAAAATGGAAAGAAAATGAAAATCTGTATCAGAATACATTTCAGAACACAAGGAAGTATTCAAAAGTTTAAAAAAAAAAGAGAGAAAAAGATGAAGTTGAGCGTATGCACTGCAAATGGTGTGGCCAATTATTAAATGTAAATATTTATAGGCTAATAGTTCTAAGTCTACAACAGTAAACTGTTTATTCAAATGAAAAGTTTTATTTGGGGATTAAAGATATATTGTTTTCTTAAACTCAGAGGTGGCGTGTTTTGAGTGCTGTTTTTGTTCTGCAGCAAACCACATTGATGAACATAATTCAAAGCATTAATCTACTGAATACTTCCCGCCCAGTCTGTTCCCCAAAATGAACCCCAATATTTAGCCAAAAAAATTAATAGTTTTTTTGCACTGATTTTCACCTGTTTTTGTTGTGGTGGTAATAAACACTGATAAATTCCCAGAAAAAAAAAAAGAATTAAAACTGAAAATGCAGCGCCCTAAACATAAAATAGAAGTCAGAGAACTGCACCATGTAGCACTATAATGTGCTCTCTCCACCTCCTGTTTGATCCATTTAGGAAGTTGTTCACTTTGTTATTAGCCATTGCAGTTTCTATGTGAACTCTGCAGTCAAACCCAGTTAGGGCATGTTGTGGTAACCCAGTCTGGAGGTGCAAAATAAGCAAATTAATGTGGCTAAATCTGCGTTCGAGAGAAAGGGCAGTTTTCAAATAGCAAGAAAATGAAAAGCATTTCTGGCCACAACTGCTATCAGGATATCTACTCCTGAGGGGATCTGCATGACTGAGCGCCTGCAGAAAACAGCCCCGCCCCCCCAGAATTCCTGTGCTTCCCTGCAGGCACGTGGGGGGGGGACTGCCCCCTCCAAACAGAGATGAGGCATGGGGTGCACACAGAGTTACGTGCCACTGCCCCCCTCTCATTTCTGGAAGCTCAGAGCTGCCCAGCTGAAGAAGGCTGCTGTCTGGGCTCCCGCTGACTCTGCAGCTGAATGCTGCCTCCTGGGTCCTAGTGCCAGTCATGCTCCCCTTCTGCATGCTGGTAGCCTTCCTTTTTTCTGTGCAACAGTGAGTGCCTGTGGTGGGGCTGGGAGTAAGCAGGGGGGGGGGGGCGGCGGATGGAGAAGAAAAGGGGCTAGGGGAATCACAGGGGGAAGCAGGAGCCCAGCATGCAGCATCCCCTTGGCAGCAGCTGGGGCTCCCCCGTTAAGCATGCCCATCGAACCTTCACCTGACAAGCCCTACCCCCCTACACCTGGACCCCTCTGATGAGCCCCCCACACCAAGACCCCCACCCCACTGATCCCCAACCAGCTGCACCTGGATCCCCACCCCATAAAGCCCCACTGATCCCCCCACACCCAGCCAGATCCCCCCTCCCCCGCCGAGACCCATCTCCCCACACTCAGACCCTCCCCCTTTTCCCCCCCCCCACTGAGCCCCAACCACCCTCACCTGGATCCCCTCCAGAGTCCCATGGGCCCTGCACCCGGAACCCCTTCTCCCCCCATGAGCCTCTGTGCATCCAGATCTCCCACTGAGCCGCCCACACTCAGACTGCCCCACACAGAAATCTCTCACCCCACACCTGGATCCCCCCATACTTGAATCCTGCTGGGCTGAGCCTGCCCACCCAGAACTGGTGCACCCGGTGCAGAGGGGCAGGGCCCCGGGGGTGTTTCTGGGGCAGGTCCAACCCTTGCACTGTGTCAGGGTCAGGTACAGCCTCACTGCCGAGTCCCTTTGAGGTGGGTCTTCAGGGTGATCTCCCATCTCAATGCAGCCTGTTCCCTGTGCTCCCCACTGCCATGCTGGAGCCACATTTATTTATTGACAAAATTTGAAGAGTTTTAAAATATTGTGTGTATAATTTTTTGGCACAGAATTCCCTCAGGAGCAGGTATCAAGAGCAGCAATGAATCCAACAGACACCCTTAAGGGTGCGGTCATAACGCCTGCCAATTGCTCAGCATGTTTTCCTCTCCCTAGCAAAATTAGCTCCATCTCAACCAGAATACACTTAAGCCAACTTCCTTCCATCCTGACTTGGATTTCCTTCAGACACTTGGAATACAGCGCTGTCTGTGCTAGATGAGAAAAGGAAGAAGAGCTGTGTACAGTCAGCATGTTTTTGGCAGTATAACCCAGGGCATTTCACAATCTAACTTCTAGTCTTACATAAACGTTGATTAAGAGGCAACAGGGCTGAGCCCTGCAAGACTCCAAAGAGGAGACTGGTTGGGAAAGAGAAGAATCTGTCCACCCTTTGGGATCCATCAGAAGGGAATGAATGAAGTCAGCTTTAGTACAGCTCCATCCACTGATGCAAGATCTTGTTGGCGAGCCAGCAGCATTTCATGTTACACGTGTCAGAAATCGCTGATAATTTGAACAGAATCTTGGGCGGGGGGAGGATGTCTTGCCACGGCCATCATTCATCAATGCAACCAGCAACGTCTCATTGCTATAATCAGGTCGAAGTGGAAGTGGTTAAAAATAGTGGGAGAGAGCAAAAGTCTGCTCACCCCAGCTTTCTCAATAAACTTGCCCCTGAAGAAGAGATTAGTAAGCAAGCAGCAGTTAGAGACCAAAACATTAAAAAGGCTTCTTGATCACAGTCCAGTTGGCCATAAAGACTGGTAGAATTCCCTGACTAAGGGTGGTATTATTGGTCTTGGTCAAGCAGCAAGCTCTCTCTAAACAAGAGGGACGTGGCTTTTATTTCACAGATGATTTCCCTGAAATGCAACCTAATAAATACAGAGTCTAGGGCAGTGGTTCTCAAACTTTTGTACTGGTGACCCCTTTCAAATAGCAAGCCTCTGAGTGCAACCCCCCTTATAAATTAAAAACACTTGTTTATATATTTAACACCATTATAAATGCTGGAGGCAAAGCGGGGTTTGGGGTGGAGGCGACCCCCCCATGTAATAACCTCGCAACCCTCTGAGAGGTCCCAACCCCCAGTTTGAGAACCCCTGGTCTAGGGGCATAGAGTATATCAGTTTGAATCATGAAAAAGTTAAAACACGTACACCAGATTTCGGTTCTTCACTGGACCTCTCATCTCCAGTAGGTTAGCAACATGGTCTGCTTTAGGATCCTAGCACTATACAGATGACTGAACATGAACACTTGTTTACAGGATCCATGTACTAATGAGCCACTAATGTACATCACAATAACTTGCTAACAAAATCCCCTGCAAAATTCAGTAGACTGGAGGGTTCCAATGATTCTATCTGGTTCTATATGCCAATGATAAATCCAAGCTGTATCTTCAAGTATTCTTTATTTACTGTATTTAGGTAGATGGTAGTCCCACACTCCCTGATGCTGGTAATATTTCTGACTTCCCTATATTTCCT